CAATATAACTTTGAAATAAGTTCTATGGTAAGATATTACATGTTTGCTGGAGATCATTTCTCCCAAGGGCCACATCGACCTTTCCACATCCTGTGCCCTTTTGAATGTGCCTTTGCCTCTTTTTCCACCACGATGTGAAATCTCTTTCCTAGTTCCTTGAATTAGGCCCTGTGAGTTGTTTTGACCAATGGCAGCATGTGACTTTCAAGACTTAGTACCTAAGAGGCCTTGCAGATTTTGTTTTCACTCTTCTGGTAGCTAACTACTGTGTAATGAAGTTGAGCCTACTCTATTGGAAAAGGCACATTGGAAGAGACCCTTGGGAACAAGAGGACATATGAAGGAGAAAAGAGAGCTCTCAGCTGACAGTTGCTCACCAGCATCTGCTAGAAATGTGAAGGAAACCATGGTGAGTGTTCCAATCCTAGATAAATTCCCAATCAAATGACCACTTGAGGGCCCCCAGTCAAAACCACATGGATAGAAAATCACCCATAAAATTGCAAAGATGAAAGATCAATTAACACTGGGAGTAATTTATTATATAGCAATAGATAACAGATTTAGTACTCATGGATTCAAAATTTTAAGGGTTAGAAAGTGGAAGTGATAAAGCTGCAATTGCAAATTATTTATAACAATAAGTTGATATGTTTAATGAAACACTTGCACATATTAAGTGCTCAACATATACTTACGGAATAAGTGAAGGAATGATTTGCTTGGTTTTCAACATTTTTATGGTATAACTGTATATTTAAATGTGTAATTATAAAATATATTTATGTCCTAGTATTTGAAAGAAACTACTTTTGGATTTAAAAGCTGCATGATGAGCAAAACAGTTCAGAGATAGCCTATAAATGATGAGGATATGGGTGAAATTTCTTCCATAAGGTGGAATCAATAAAGTACTAATTTGTGAAGACATACCTAAAAAAAAAGCATGCAGTAAAGGATAATCATTACTTATGGAATGACCTTTAAAAATGTCATGGTGATATTTCCTGGACCTCTGCAATACAAAAAGGAATAAATTTAGTCATATACATGTGTTAAAGGATAGAAATCATACGAGGAAGTGTCTTAGGGATTCCTCTGTCTCTAATTTCCTGCGTATCTTGATAAGCAACGAGAAGATTTCTAGATTCTAGATTTCCCCAGCCTGGAAGTGTTCTCAATTCTTTTTCCACCCCAAAGGAAGCAATTAAGAAACTCATGGGGCTCCCCAAGAAGGAAATATAAGCTGGGATCCCCATTAGAAATGGGGACATCCAATAGGAATTTACCTACTTCCAAGGGGGGTGTCCCTTCCCACATGGGGAATACCTAGAGTGCTGCTTTCCTAATTCTAACCCAATGGGGTATTTGTGGATATATGTGGAGTTTCCTTTAATCTGTGATGACTAACTGCTCAGGATTATCTGTGTCTGCCATGGTTTCTGATGACAAAATACCTAATTGGATATGACTATAGTACTCATTTTCTGGTTTCAATGTATGATTCAGCAAAAATCAATTGCCTATCCCCCCTGATTAATATCCCAGTCTCACTTCTTCAAAGAGCAAGGTCTTAGGACAAGGAGAAAGAGAAGGTGGTGGAAGGGAGGAAGGGCGGGGGGGAGAGAAAGAGAGAGAGAGAAAGTTGAGAAATTGATGCATAGGAAAATGAAAACTTTCAGTTTAGGTACAGTTTTAGACTTTGTCTGTTTGTCTGCTGGGTCTCTTTTGACTCTTGAAGTTATTATATATTCCTTCACTAGATCCCCTGAATATGAATTCAAAACAGTATGCTTCTTTAATGTGATTATTGCTGGGTTGTTTTGTGGCTTCATCATGAAAGTCTGGTTTCAAAAACAATATGAAAGGAAGGGCTCTTAGCACAATTGTGAGGTTTCATCTATAACCAGAAGTGGAAACAAAGATGAATAACCCACGGCTAAAAAAAAAACATGAAAGTACTATATAAAATATGATCTAGCAAAAAAGAAGTGGAAATATATTTCATCACTTGTCAGACATTTAAGAGACATATATCTAGTGCATTTTTGACCCCAAATTCATTACATTTCTTCTTGTTTCAGGTTTGAAAATGAAATACTTTCTCACAGGTCTGGTGTAGAGTCCTGAAACTGATAAACACTGCACATTTTACATGTATTTGGCAGATTTAGACACATCCCAAATATTTGTATAAACATAATTTATTCTAACTCTAAAAACTCCCAATACTTCACTACGGTATAATTTCTTAAAATATTTTTTCATTTGAATGGCAAAGTTGGAAAGAATGCCAATGATATTAATAACGGTATAAATAATCCATTGATTCATATTTAAAAATTTGAAGTTCCTGGCATTATGACTTTGTGTTATATACATTGATTTAACTACCAAAAAATGAGCTAAGCATAGTAGGTCATTGGTGTAACAAAATTTAATTTTTCTTTTTGGCAATATTTTGAATTTTCTTGTGTGACTTGATGGTTTTATAGAATGTTTTAATATAGATATAATTTCAAAGTTACAAAATTGAGCAAAAAAGGCACAAGATTTACCAATTGTTTGTTTATATTTTCAGGCATTTGCATTATACTCTGTATATACATGCCAAATACATGTGCACTTTGATGTGTATGTACATATATATGCATATAGCCATACATGCAGATGAACATATATATGTACACACATAGAAATTTTTGAACAAATTGAGAATAATTTGAAGGCATTTCCCATCTTTATTATTAAGTACTTCAGTATGCTTCCTAAGGACACTCTCTAGTATAGTTACAATACAGTGATCAAAATGAGCAAATTTAACACTTAAGAATATTAGCTAATCCAGATTCCATAGTCAAATATGAATATTCCCCAGAATGTCCTTACAATACTTCTTCCTTGCCCTAGATATAATCTAGTATCATATATTCCATTTAGTGCTCATTTATTTTTAGTTTCCTTTAATTGAGAAAAGCATTCTGCCTTTGTGTTGCTTGACCTTAACATTTTTTAAAAGCACATGTCTGTAATTTTGCAGAATGTCCTCTCAGTTGGATTTGTCTGATGTTCTTCCCGACTAGATTCAGGTCATACATTTTTGGCCAGAAAACCATAGAATGCCTGTTCTGTCCTTTTTCTTGCATATCTAGAGGCCCTGGATATCATTCGCTCCAGGGTTTCATTTCTGTTAGAAGTTGACAGAGTAAAAGTGCCCCTCAACAATCTGATTAATTTCCATTTATGGATTTTTCCAATATTTATAGCCACTATAATAATTATTTATTTTGATGTTCAGACTCCCAGATTTTTCCAGCAAAGCTGTCTCCATTATAATTTTACCAAGTCACATCATTTTTTAGTTTGTTTTTTTTTTTGGTACCGGGAATCGAACCTGGGACCTTGTGCTTGCGAGGCAGGCGCCAGAACCACTGAGCTAAATCCTCGGCCCTAAGTCACATCATTTTTTGAGACTTTCAAAAAGATACGAGACTCACATTGCAGGCCCATCCTATAGTTCCTATCCCCTGGTCCCCAACCCAGCCTTTATTCAGAAACTGAGATCTGATCCTGGGAATGCTCTTTGCTCTCAGGACCTCTCAGTACGTGCAGCTAGGAAACACAGTGGGGTGTGTGTGTGTGTGTGTGTGTGTGTGTGTGTGTGCGCCTTCATGCACACAAATATCTCTACTTGTTTCTCACTTTCTTTCCCCCTCTCCTTCAGAATCTATGCTGATATTTCTAATTGTAGTCTTACACCACAGGCTACTTTCTAGCCTTTTGCTTTCCCCACTCTGCCTGTGAGAGAACTGGTTCCCATTATTCTTAATCTATTTGCTTATTTGCGTAAGTGTGGAATATATATAACATAGCTTCAAAATTGCAAATTCATACCAACTTAAAAATAAACGTATTAACCAGATTTTAATAGTTTGCAATTTTAATACTTACTATTATAGATGTATTATTCAAAGGATTTTGACAACTGCATGCCCTCAGCCCAACCCTTATCAAGATGTAGACTATTTTTATCATTAAGAAAATTGTCTTGCTTGCAATTTAAAAACTATCCTCTAGATCTCATTAGTATAGGGATAGACAGAGAAAGCATATTTACCTTTGACCGTAGTTCTGAGACCTCTGTTAAGCAGTGCATTTGTGAGTGTCCATATGTTATATTGGTAAATAGAAAAAAATTGGACTAAATAAAACTACACCTGCATTAATAAATATGTTTGCATTTATAAAGGCTCTATGTTATCTCTGAGGCCATTTGAATATTTCTTCTATTCATTTAGTACAATTGAAATAATTTCAGGACTCTTTAATTCTAAGAAAATCCATGAACTAGCACTCTTTTTTATTTTATTTTTTTGATTCCTAAATCATGAGAGATTGAATCTCACAAAGGTACTAGTGATAATTGAGAAAGTTATCATCTATTGTCTTAGTTTGTGGAGATTATCATCATAAAAAGTGAGGACACAGTAGAAAAATTTTAAGATGCTATAATTGACTTGTTTACTAGTGTGAAGAAATTATGATACTTGAGGTTGACTCTGTCACCATCGTGTCAGACAAAGATGCCACAGGAGATGAAGAGATATTTGTGAAAAAAGGATACTAATGGGAAGGGAAGGGCACTGAGAAAGAAGAGTGAACACATGAGTGAGAGGGCATAATTTTGAAATAGTAGAATATGCATTCTCATTCATTGTCTATATACAGTTTATGGTGTTGTCTTCAAATATATTAAAATGACAAAATTTTTTTATTTTTTGGTACCGGGGATTGAACTCGGCTCCTTGCGCTTGTGAGGCAGGCGGCAGAACCACTGAGCTAAATCCCTGGCCCTAATGACAAAATTTATACAGCTACCGATGCAAAACATTTTGAATCACCAAGTGTTTGCTGTTAATAATACATAATGATAATGCAGTATTTAGTGGAAAAGATATAAAATAGCTACATTTGAACCTTCCTTTATTTTTATTTTTTAGAGATCACATCTGAAGAGGAATATTGAAAGAACAATCTAAGGAGTGAAGTAATTGTAAAGCATTTCAGGTGAGAATAATTGAAGAGCCAGGACTAGTTTTCCTGGGAAAGGGTAGACTGAATGAGAGGCTGTAGGAATTGATTTCTATTGTACATAGGATTGCTATATAGGAAGTCTCAACTTATTTTCTGTTTGTAGAGAACAGCTAATAAATATATTATGTGAACCTAGCATCTCAGCTGCGCATGGGAATGACAAACTAGTTTCTTGACAAAAAGTAAATACCACTGGATCCTGGGGAGGAATTAATTTTTATTAAAGATATGGTAGAGAAGAATTAGATAGCTTCTACAGTAATAGAAAAGAAAGTAATTTAAACTTATAAAAGAGCTTCTTAGCTTTTGACATTAAGAGGTTAAATTATGGAAGGAGGGCCACTCATACTACACTCTGTATTCTAAATTTCTGTGAAAGAAGCAAATGCAATGCAAATAAGAAGATGCCAGTAATGTCAATACTTTCCAAAGCACCTTCTGATCATGATATATAATGTATGTAGTCTTCCATCTTCTACACCTCTGAAAAGATATTTAAAACCATTATCTTAACTGTAAGTTCCTAAAATTTCATCAAAAAGTAAATCTATGCTAAGCAGAGAGCTAAGAAAAGAGTGATTTATAATTGTTGAAATAAAATGAATTACTCATCCTTAGTGTTAAATGCATTTAGATGTATTTTTACTTGTTTTAGAATTGATAATCCATGTTTGGTTTTGTTTGCTAACACTCTATTAATTATAACATTTGATTACCTTATTCTTCAAACATGCCAGATAATGTTTACTTAACTCCTCTTTTTTGAATCTGCCAAAAAATTATCAAACAGACTAACATCTGCTTTGTATTATGGTATGAGTCACACTCTTTTTTTGCCCTTCCCCCACCCAATGTAGGTTCTCACAAACATCAGTCAAACATGGCATTGGTATGTTTCACTGTCCTGCTATAAATACTTTTGTATCCACGTACATTTAATATGCAACTGAGATATAGTTCCATACACATATGCAATATGGAAAAAGATAGGAGCACCAAGACAAAAAAAACAGTATTAGCAGAACCTCCTAAAACAATAACCAGACAGTTGATGAATACTTACTCAGCACTAAGCGATATGCTGAATGCTTTTATAAACTTTATCTCACTAAATGATCATAACAAACCTATAATATTATTATTACTTTCATATTTAAAACCTCACAGCTAGTATTGTGGTAGAATTAAAATTTACTGTTGGCCTGTGTGAATAGAGATTTCTTAACCACACTACCACATGGTCAATAACAACAAAAATAATCTTCTCCATTCTATTCCCACCCATAAGTCCGTGTCTTCATATCACAATAGACTTATTCTTATGTGTGGTAAGAGCAGTGTTGCTCAAATGGGGATGATTTTGGTTCTGTGGAATACTTGCCAATGACTGCAGACATTTTTAGTTATCATAACTGATCCAGTGTTACTAGCAGAGGCCAGGGATGCTGCCAACATTCTCCAATGCACACAACACAGCCTCGTCCCGCCAACAAAGAATTATCTGGTCGAGTATGTCAATACTGATAAGGTTGAGAAACCCTAATCTGGAGAAACATGTGAAGAGAATTGTGTTTACGCATGTACATTCACTTAGTTCTCTAAAGGGATTTCTTTTGGTTGTTAGAATATGATGGCTCTTAAAACATTTCAAGACAACTTTCCAAGTAGGTTATGCTGATTTACAAAACACACAGCTTTATTTCCAGTCCAGGTAATAGTATTGCCATGTTGTTCTCGACACACAACTCTGTTATGTGTCTAAGGTATCTTGTCATCACTTGGTGGTCAGGGACTAAATCTGAAGAAAACACAAGCTCGGACAAGAAACCTGTTATGAAGTCATCTTTGTCTCCATTCAACTGGTCTAACTTGATCCATATTATGTTGGGAATGAGGCAAAATAACTAGCAATAAATGAACAAGCCCTTTCTGTCATCATTTACTGCTTTGAAACTACTTGAGACTGTCACTTTCCCCTTAAATGCCTATCAGCAGGCCACCCTTACAAATTCAAAAGAATCAACAAGCCAAAATCAAATTCTACTGTCCACTGGGCTACCAATTTTCTACTAATGAAGGTCTTTTGATTTGGAGTATAATCCTCAGTTATGTAATTTGGGTATTCCATAACCACAAAAAAGTGAGGAGGAAGAATAATTGAGAATGAAAAAAATAAGAGGCAAGGAAAAGTTGTTATTAGTGTAGATTGATGCATAATGTTGTCAGAATCTGACATTTTCACCAGTAGTATTTACAATTCGATGTGAATTATCTCGTATTTGGTTTTGATCTTAGAACATATAACATAGCGATGAAGAACAGTGGCTCTGCAATTAACCTGTGCAATCTGTTAGGTTCCTGGCTTCATACCTGTCCATATATCAGTTACTCTAAGTCTTCAGTTCACATATTTACTGAACATTTATATTTTGTCTGTCTTCAGAAGAGAAGGAACCTTACCTATCTTGTCATAGTTTTACTACCGTAGTTCTACTACCATAGTTCTACTAGCATTCCTTAGACTATGCTAGTGTCTGTGTTGATGTATTATAAGCATTTATTAAATGAATGAATTTATGATTGAATAACATTTACTTCATGAAATTATTGTGAAGTTTAAAGGAAATCATGTATATTAGTGTTCTCTGTGTATATAGTAAGTCTTAAATATTCATTATTATTATTATTATTATTAATTTGAAAAACCTCAAAAGATTCTACAGAAATTTACAAGGATTTTTTTCTTTTCACTTATTTTTATCTTCACTTTCAAACAGTAACTTTTGGTTCAGTGTCATTACTAAAATTCTTTTATCTGTTTCTTCATCACTTTCCTCTACTTTTGCCTTCTTCCTATGGATTATGAGAGATTAAATTTTCATCAAAAATATCCATAACTAATTTTCTATTGCAAGTAGACTTTAGCCACCATCTCTCCTTCTAAGATCCATATGGCTCCTGGACCATACTACCAAATCTTCTTCAGATTGTTATTTATTCTGGGAAGGGCAGTGTCCCTACTGGAGTGATATAAACATAATGATGGTGTTGCATAATTCACACCTTATTTGAAGACTGGCACTGTGTTGTGTATTAGGAAGTATTTTTCTAGCCATTGACAATACAATGCAGTGTTGATGCATTGACCATCTTAATGTTGTGTGTGCATTTTTATACCTTTTTCTTTTTATAGAGATTGTTTTTAATGCAAAATTTCATATCCTGCAGCCACCTCTGAGTTACATTCTAAGCATCTGAAAAAGTGGTTATTATTAAGAGATGTCTAGTTTCATAATCATTTGTAGAATTTTTAAAAATTACACTTGCCTGGGCTTTACCCGATGGAAATTCTGATTCAGTAAGTATAAGGAAAGGTCAAGTTATTTATGTATTCTGATACCTTCCTTGTTAGAACCTTTGTTCTAGAACAGGGCTTCAAAAACTCAGGCTGAATTTGAACCACTTGTGCAGTTTATTAACCATGAGGACACCAAGGTCTTTCCTCAGTAAATCTGATGCTGCAGTTCTAGGATAGCAATCAAATCTGCATTTTCAATAAATATTCCTGGTAAATCTGTGTGTCAGAGTATCTTACCACACTTTTAGAAGTGTGGCCATAATTTATTGCTTATATAGTGATGTTTATTAGATGAACAAGCAATGTTTATTGAACATTTATTCAACAAGCAATGTTTATTGAATGAACAAGTAAATGAAGGGATAGAATTTAAAGAATTATTGTGAGATTTAAATTTGATAAAGTATGTAATGTGCTAAATGCATTCTAAATGTTAAATGTTAGCTGTAATTATAATTAATTTGAAAAGAAACATTGGTTCAGATGTTTTGAATTCTTTTTTTTTCCACATCTGTCCTCGTCATCATCAGTTTTTACCCTGAGTAGAGTGAGAGCATCAAAGTTAATTCAATTATTACATAAAGTACTTAATCATCATCTTCAAAATTCAAAATAGTATAATTTTAAATTATAATAGTACAGGAAATAAAACATTTAAGATGCTATGGTACCGAGTAAAAGTGGGCTGTACTGCACCTAGATTAAATTTGAGGTTTTCTGAGAAAGGAAAAGTATTCTGTTTAAACTAGAAATTTAAGTGAAAGTAGGAATAACCCAGGTAAAGAGTAAAGGAAAAGAGCCCAAAATAGTGAGTACAACATGAACAAAATTCACTTGTAAGTAGAATTGCTTAGAAGTCACTAAGAGAAGATAAAAGGAGACAGTGAGGAAACTATTGCACTGATCTACTCAAGAATGATGGTTACTGGATTAGCCTATTGGCAGTGGTGGGGACACTGTAGAGATTCCTGAACTCTGTTGGAAGTAGAAGCAACTGTTTTCAGATGGAAATTGGATGAGGAAATAGATGTGTTGGGTAACTTTTATATTTCTGACATAAATTTAGTAGTTCAGCAACCTGGTAATGTTATTATTATCACACAGGATTTTACAAAGAGCCCATGCCTGGGCTCCACTCCTAGCGATGCTTGATGTGGATGGAGCTTAGGTCTCAGTAGGTTTTTAAAACTCCCAGGTATTTTAAACTTGGGAGTCAAGGTTTAGAATTACTGGCTTAGGTGGCTGTGTCACACACTGAGGTATGGAAAAGAGCCAGGGCTTTGGGAAATAAATTCCATTTTCTTATACCGACTTATGATATATATGAGACATATAGCTCATGACATCAGGTATAGAGTTGTATGATCTGAACTCAGAGATACGGTCTTCAAAAAACTCTGCCAAAAGACTTCTAGACTTAATTGACAGGTTCAGTAGAGTAACTCGATACAAGGTCAATACTCAAAAATCAATTGCTTTCTTTGTACACAAATAACAAACTCACTGAGAGAGAAATTAGGGAAACATTTCCTTTCACAATAGCATCCAAAAAAAATGAAATACCTAGGAATCAATCTAATGAAAGAAGCAAAAGACCTCTACATTGAGAACTACA